CCTTTTTTCAAAGTTCCTAGTTTCTTTACGTTGGGCTACAACATGTTCTTTTACCTCACCGAAGTTTGTTATTATCCATTCCTTGAAGAGTGATTCTGTCATTGGGATGCGCTCGTTCTCCATCAAGCCTTGTTCCATTGTTGATGTGGAACTGTGATCATCTTTCGAGGGAGAGGCGTTCTGACTTTGAGTATTCTCAGCTTTTTTACGCTGGTTTCTTCCCGTCATTGTAAATTTATCCTCCTGTCGTCTTTGAAATTACCAACTTTCAGATTAGGTCTCTTGAGTGGACGTCCAGGTTGTTAGTTCCCAGGGCCAGAGCAGCGGCGTTAAAACTGATGGTGCTTTTCTGCCCAGGATTCTCCTGTCGGGCTTCCTTCTTGTGTCCCTAGTAGGCAACTCTGCCTTCCCGGGGCTCCAAACCTCGGTCAGAAGGGGAACCGGTCCCGTTTACTCTGCGCCAAGCGCTGCCATGCCGACTGCGCAGGGCTCTGGTGTCCTGCTGGGGGCCCTTGTGAGTCCTCCAAACCTGTTTACTCTGCTCCGAGAGCTGCCGCGCCGAGGTGCTGGTGGAACCGCTGCACCGGCCATGAGAGTCGTGCTGGCCACCCGTGTGTTTCCTCCACTGGGGGATCTTCTGCTCCATGAGCGACCAGACTTTGTCTGAAAGTGTGGCGTCCTCTAGTTCTCCGCGCCTTCCCTGAGAGCTGCAATCTCGGGATGTTAGCGATCGGCCATCTTGGATCGTTCTCTCGAGATAGTAATTAAAATAATGCTGGAGTTTGGGTTTTGGTTTTATTTTAATAAACCAGTAAATTGACTTTTGGAGAATTGGCTTTAAGCTCAATATACTTGGTTTTTGCTTACTTCTTTTTGGAGAAATTTACCAGCTTTATCCCCTTTCACTGTTTCCAGACCCAGTCACAAGTCATAATTGTCTTGGAAAAGATCTAACTGCCACTTTCTTAATACAGACTACAGCAAAGCAGTTTGTTGTCCTTCCTCTAAGGTTAATTAGTAGTAATAATAAAGATGTGTTTTGAACTTTCGTTATAATGCTATGTTGCTTTATTTTGCAAGCAGTATCGCAATTTCTGAAAAAAAGGGTACAGATTTAGAATTTTGTAAATCTCCCCTTATCCCATGAGACATTTGTTTTCACACCAAAATATTATGAGATGATTATATTCCAAAGCTTTCTAATACATACATACTTTCTATAATGACACATTATCATTCCAGGAGGAGGAGGAGGAGTAAGAACAGCCTACATCTACTGAGCATTTATCATTTGCTTGTCTGGTAGAATTTAATATTTCCCTAATTTAATATACAGGAAAACTGAGATACAGGGAAATTTAAGACTTGCCTAGAGTCACGTATCTAAAAAGCTGCAGGTATGGAATGGAAACCCAGGCAGTTTGACTGCAGGTTTTATTTCCAAACCAAGTTAGTTTAAATCATACCAAGTCCTAATCAGTTTTGAAGCATTAGAGTTACAATACAAACTAAACGAGCAACTTTCAATTCGAAGGGAAATGTTCGATTTCAATTAATTTGAATTTCTTGTTATTCACTCAACAATATGTCCTAGTCACCTTGGGTGGGAATTAACATGCATCAAGAGCATCATCTTGACAGCTACATGGAGTTTCATTTTAAGGGTATGACAACTGATATAACGAGTCTCCCATTGTTGGGCATTCAGGTTTTTTCAACTTTTTCTGTCATAGAAACATTGCTACAATAAACATCCACTGTATACATTATTGCATGTTTGTCATGTTATTTCTTTAGAATCAACTCTTAGAATTTATTTCCTACAATTCTTACATTTTTAAAAAATAAATTATAGAAAAACAATATCTCAATTTCAGAAATTTTACCTATGCACTGCTACCATCCCGGAGAATAGGTTTTAAAAATACATGTAATTATGGGACATGAAACTGCCAAAGGAAAGATAATTTGGTAACGAAGTCTTTTGATATTTTTTGATGGCTGTCGAAAAGAAAATAGAATCTCTAGAAATTAATTGAATTCAAACATTTCCCTTCAAATTTAAAGATGTTCATTTAGTTTGTATTATAACTTTAATGCTTCAAAACTGTTTAGGACTTGGTATGATTTAAAGTAAGCTGGTTTGAAAAGGAATTTATTTTAAGAAAATGATCTTCAATAGGAACAAAGGCCTTTTTTTATCTTTGCATTTTTGGCTTAGGAGAAGAGGAGAAAGGCTATTTTGAGGACAAGATTCCAAACAGAAGGGAATCCTTTGGCAGCAAGTGTAAACAGCTTTGGCAGAAAGCCACCCTCCAAAGAAAAAGGACTTCAGCTTGTTTTAAACAAGGGAGTGAGCTCCAGGACAAAAAGGATAACCCTGATGCCAGGGGTGGGCCAATAGGGATTGTTTGGGTGGAAACACTATTACAACAGCTGTCTAGAGCTGCCTCATTAGAAATTGATGAGTTTTGGGATGTGCCCCTTTCCCAGTACTCTAGACAGGATCAATTACCATTCCAAGGAAGTGATGATATTTTACTCAGTTCCACAATGTTCCTTTTAGCCTTTGTTACCCAAATCGTAAATAAAATATAAATACTATAAGTGTAGGTTGTTTCCTGACCGTTTCCCTTTGTTTTTCAGAAAATAAATCACTTACACAGCTACAAAACTGGATTTATGTTTAATTTAAAGGGGATTTGCATCTTCAATTTAAAAATGCTTTAGAATCTTTTTTTATTACTGTATATATAGAAAATGCTTTTTGCTCAGTATGTTTCTGGGGTGGGTGTGGATATGTGTATATGCATACTCATGTTTAGCCTTACATTTTCTTTTTTTTTTTTTTGAGATGGAGTCTCACTCTGTCACCTAGGCTAGAGTACAGTGGCACCATCTTGGCTCACTGCAGCCTCCACCTCCGAGGTTCAAGTGATTCTCCTGCCTCAGCCTCCCAAGTAGTTGGGATTACAGGCTTGTGCAACGATGTCTGGCTCATTTTTGTATTTTTAGTAGAAACAGGGTTTTGCCATGTTGACCAGGCTGGGCTCGAACTCCTGACCTAAAGTGATCCACCCACCTCAGACTTCCCAAAGTGCTACGATTACAGGCATGAGCCACCGTGCCCAGCCTAATCTATATTTTTGAACTGTTGTTTTCAGTTGAGAGAATTGCTATCTGTTTGAATAAATTACTTGAAAAGACCGATGACAAGCCAGCATCCCATCCTTGTATAATTACATGTGCAGTTATGTGCGGCCTTGCTGATTGGTGTGGTTGGATATGACATGCATGAAGGTGTAGTGAGGTGGTCAAAAATTCAGTCATTTGAGAATTCATTTCCCTTTGATTCCAAACAACTGGTCATAGAAACAGTGGGTGAGATGGTAGCAGAGATCCCCATACACTTTCCTGGAGAGACATAGTGAATGGAAGAGCTACTCTGAAGCAGTGTTTCTTTTTTCACTTATTTAATCAAAAAAGCCTTCATTGAGTACCTACTATATGCACATGTTTGTTGTTTGTGCTGTTCCTTCATCAGAATTGATTCCTCCTTGCTACGAGCTTCATTTCCCCTCCCTTCTTACAGCCCCAGCAGGTATCCATGGTCCTTAGGTTACTGAAAAGGTTAGATCTGTCCCTCATCAAACCCAAGTCCTATATCTCCTTCTTTGAAGGCCCTGCTAAAGTGGAGTTTTATTTGTAGTAACCTTTTTAAAATAAAAAATTTCAGATGGAAAAATATTTTAGAAAAAAAAAAGAAGAGATTATATCATGAACATTTCCTCATGATACTGCATACTTGTAGACATTTTAGTGGGTGGGTTTTATTTCATTGTAGACTTCAATTTCTTAACACCCAATTGTTGAATATTTAAAAATTTAAAACATTTTCCCCCTATTATAAATAATGCTGAATGGACACCTCTGTTCTTCAAACTTGGTTAATAATTTTATTAGGGTAGAATTACTAAGTCATTGTTTATTAACATGTGTTAAGAATCTTAATATAAATTGCCTGCTCTCTTTTCAGAGCATCTGTTGCAACTTACAGTTTCATTAAGGGTCCACTTAGTGTTCTATTATGGCACCCTTACTCTCATTGAGCACTAAAATCTTTCCAAATCTTCACTGATTTTTTTCTGTTTAATTTTCATTTTTCTTACTACTAGCAAGATTGGATTTTTTTCACATACTTACTAGACATTTTTTAGTTTCTCTTTCAATGAGTTGTCTGTTTATGTTCTTTGCTCAGAGTTCTATTGGGTTTTTTTTTTATTTTCTTATTCATATGTGTGAACTTACTGAATATTAAGAAGGTTAGGCCAGGTGTGATGGCTCATGCCTGTAATCCCAGCACTTTGGGAGGCTGAGGCAAGCGGATCACCTGAGGTCAGGAGTTTAAGACCAGCCTGACCAACATGGAGAAAACCCATTTCTATTTTTAAAAATTAAAATATATATATATGAAAAAAAGTTAATCGTTTGTCTTTAATATCTGTTCATTATGTTTAGGCTAAATCTCTCCAAGAATATTATTTGTAATCATGTTATCACTTACAGAAGATAACTTGTTTTTTTTTTTTTTCAATGACATGAGCTTATATCATTTTGTATAGGAGATGGTTTTCAATGTTTAAAAATTAAGAATACATACCTTAGAGCTAAGTACAAAAAACATCTATTCCAAAAGTTTTATAAAATAAGGAAGAGAATATAGTTAAATTACAAGAGACCTTGGCACTACCAGCCAGTACTTCTGTATTGATATAGTCACTGTGTTCTTATTGCACTTAATGCGATCACTCCTCTGGTGTGCTCATTATAAAAATGTGAGATCTGTGCCCAGACTAAGCAGTTGAAACAGGTAATGAGCTGCTTTGGAATGTACTGGATTCCAGATAAAATTCTAGTAAACCCTCATTCCCGTACTTCAGTTTTCCTTACCTCTAGAGCCCCTGAACTCTGTGGTTCATATGTTCTCCTTTTCCTTTTAGACAATTCCTCCTCGATCCAGGAAGATGAAGAAGTAGAGATGGAGGCCATCAGCTGGCAGGCCAGCAGTCCAGCCATGAATGGGCACCTTGCCCCTCCAGTGACCTCTGCTCGTTTTCCCAGCTGGGTCACCTTTGATGACAATGAAGTCAGCTGCCCTTTACCTCCAATCACCTCTCCTCTGAAGCCAAATACACAACCAATTCCATCTGTGATCCCAGATACATCTTATAATTCAGTAGGATCATTTAAAAAGAGGGACCGTCCCAAGAGCACTTTGATGAACTTCTCCAAAGTTCAGAAGCTGGATATTCCCTCTTTAAACCAACCGCCTTCTGTAACCGAGGCTCCACCGTGGAGGCCAACCAACCCTTTCCTGAATGAGACTCTGCAGGATGTACAGCCCTCCCCTATCAACCCTTTCAGTGCGTTCTTTGAGGAGCAGGAAAGGCGCTCCCAAAACAGTTCCATTTCCAGTACCAAGGGCAAAAGCCAAAGAGATTCCCTCATTGTCATCTATCAGGATGCCATCAGTTTTGATGATTCGAGCAAAACCCAGTCACACTCTGACGCTGTTGAAAAACTCAAACAACTCCAAATTGATGACCCTGATCACTTTGGCAGTGCAGCTCTACCTGATGATGACCCAGTAGGCTGGATTGAACTAGATGCTCACCCGCCTGGATCAGCACGGTCCCAGCCGAGGGATGGATGGCCAATGATGCTGAGGATCCCCGAGAAGAAAAACATCATGTCCTCCCGGCACTGGGGACCGATCTACGTCAAACTGACAGAGAGTGGTTACCTGCAGCTGTATTATGAGCAGGGCCTAGAGAAACCATTCCGCGAGTTCAAGCTGGAGATGTGTCATGAGATTTCAGAACCCCGGCTTCAAAACTATGATGAGAATGGCAGAATCCACAGCTTGCGGATAGACCGTGTCACCTATAAGGAGAAGAAGAAATACCAGCCCAAACCTGCTGTGGCCCACACAGCAGAGAGGGAACAGGTGATTAAGCTGGGCACCACCAATTATGATGACTTCCTGAGCTTCATCCGTGCAGTTCAGGACCGTCTCATGGATCTGCCAGTGCTGTCAATGGACTTGAGCACAGTTGGCCTGAACTACCTTGAAGAGGAAATCACAGTGGATGTCAGAGATGAATTCTCTGGCATTGTGAGCAAAGGAGACAACCAGATTCTCCAGCACCACGTCTTGACGCGGATCCACATCCTGAGTTTTCTGTCTGGGCTGGCAGAGTGCCGCCTGGGCCTCAATGACATCCTCGTCAAAGGGAATGAAATAGTTTTGAGGCAGGACATCATGCCCACCACCACTGCAAAGTGGATCAAGCTCCATGAGTGCCGCTTCCATGGGTGTGTGGATGAGGACGTATTCCACAACTCACGGGTCATTCTGTTCAACCCTTTGGATGCATGCCGGTTTGAGCTAATGCGGTTCAGGACAGTGTTTGCCGAGAAGACCTTGCCTTTCACACTCAGGACGGCCGCAAGTGTCAATGGGGCGGAGGTGGAGGTGCAGAGCTGGCTGAGGATGTCAACTGGCTTCTCCTCCAATCGTGACCCCCTCACTCAGGTTCCCTGTGAGAATGTGATGATCTGTTACCCTGTGCCCAGTGAGTGGGTGAAAAACTTCCGCAGGGAAAGTGTCCTGGGGGAAAAGTCTTTGAAAGCCAAAGTGAACCGGGGGGCGAGTTTTGGCTCCACTAGTGTTTCTGGCTCTGAGCCTGTCATGAGAGTAACTCTGGGAACTGCCAAGTACGAGCATGCCTTCAACTCCATTGTGTGGAGGATAAACCGACTGCCCGACAAAAACTCAGGTGGGTGGTGGTTCCCCTTCTGTGGAAACAAGCACCAGCACACGTTGTGAAAAAGCTGAGATCCAAGTTCCACATCCTGTATGAAGTGCTTGTTTTTATTGTGTGATGGAAGTGGTGATGGAGGGGGAGTGGGACCAGAAAAGTAAAAATAATTAAGCCAGGTAAGTAATGTGCATAGCAGCCCAGTTCACTCTTTTCACCCCCTCATTATCACACATCTTCTGTAAAACCAGGGATTATTCTTCTCAGCTGAGCTGCTAAGCAGCTTTGCAGGGCAGCTTCTGAATTTATATTCTTTTGGGACTCATTAACATATTAGCAGTGGTGCTGGAAGTGATTCATTTCTAGATGGCTTCTGAAGAGACATCTTTCTCACACTGCCCTCGATGTAGGTAAAAGGGCCAGTTTATGGACAGTCATGGACAAGACACTGAGAGGTTAATTTTATAATTCCGGATCCTCTGTGCAAAGCCTGTCCGTCATAATATCTCAAGCTCAGAGTTTGCCTCTGAGACTTGGGGGATGGGAAAGAAAAGTGGCCTGCAGGCAGACTGAAGATCCAGCTAGGACATGAATTTCTAAAAGGGCCAGAATGGCAGCCGACATATAAAGAAAAGAATATTTTCTTTAGACAAACAAAAAATGCTTACCAGCCCTAGCTGGGCTGCTCACAGCTATCAGGGATGCTTTTGTGCTTGAGTGAGTCCAGACGGCGGTTATTTCCCCCATGGGTCCAGTGAGATTTAGTGAAATGACAAAATGAGGGAGCACTCAAACCAGGACTAATATGCGTATTTCTTAGAGTAAGTCTGGGTGACTCCAATGGGAGGCAGCAAGCCCATGAGCTTGTAAGCCTTTAAATCCCTTCTTTTCTTTAGAATACATTTTGCCCATCTGTTAACAAAAGCTGATATGCTACCTGAGCAAAAAGAATAAGGTTTAGAAAAACTCTTGAGTGAAATGGCTTTATCTTATGTGTCTATCCTTTCTTCCATTCTCACTCTAAATCCTAGCAGATGTGTTCTGAGTCTCCCTCTCCTGCTCTGAGTGTGGAGTGGCTGTATTATTATATCCTAAGTTAATGCGGTGTGATGGCAAACGGCAATATGATCCGGCCAGCTCCCCAGGCATTCCAGGGAGTGGACACACACCAGGGCGTTCTGTATCAGACACTGGGTGTAGCTGTGCAAACTGAAGAGACAATTGGACTTCTGTGTTTGAGGCTGGATTTGCTACTCCCTGCTTCTAAACTGACAGCATTTTTTAAACCAGGTGTTCCTCTCTATGCCTGCTTATTCATTTCCCCTGAAATCAGCACTGTATTCTGCTGATGGTAGCACTGAAACTTCTACCTTATCCACAGGGCCCCTCTGACTTGGCAGAGGAGGGGAGAAACCCTGAACTCTCCTTTGACATGAAAGCCCTTGGAAAGAGACAACCATGGAATTATCAGATTTTCAAGCTGGAAGGGACCTTGGGGATAACTTAGTCAACTATTTATAGATGAGAAAATTAAGGTTGGGAAGGTGACGTGACATATCTAGAGTCATGCAGTCACACCCAGGGTCCTTTTCTCAATGCCACCGGTGCCTCCTGGTAGATGAAGCCAAGTAGACACAAATATTGTAATAAATCACACCAGGAAAACAGATATTTGCAGTTTTTCCAGTGTGTACAAATGTATCGATTTGTTTAAAAGTGATTTCTCCCAAACATTTACAAGTACTGGATGAGGGTTTTTTTGTTTTCTGTTTTACTATAAGCAACAAAGACTTAATAGCCACCTTAAGGAACAAAGCAAATTATTGGATGGGATAGCCCAGAGACCTGAGGGAAAGATTGATCAAGAAGACTTTAGACAGCTCGAGAATAGCTCTGGTCATAGAAACTAATGGATGTCTTCTCACTATGTAGCCTTAGGGACAAATCATCCCAGATTATTTTCTGTTCTTGGGTTTTTGTTGTTGTTGTTTTGTTTTGTTTTGTTTTGTTTTGTTTTTGTTTTTGTTTTTGAGATGGAGTCCGGCTCTGTCCCCCAGGCTGGAGTGCAATGGTGTGATGTCGGCTCACTGCAGCCTCGGCCTCCTGGGTTCAGGCAATTCTCCTGCCTCAGCCTCCTGAGTAGCTGGGACTACAGGCACGCGCCACCATACCCAGCTAAATATTTGTATTTTTATTAGAGACAGGGTGTCACCATGTTGGCCAGGCTAGTCTCAAACTCCTGACCTCAGGTATCCACCTGCCTTGTACTCCCAAAGTGCTGGAATTACAGGCCTGAGGCACCACACCTGGCCCTATTTTTTGTTCTTTGGCAACTTGGCTCAAGAGTGTAGGGGAGAGGAGTATATTTTGACTGACGTGACCAAGACAACATGTAGCACTGGGAAGATTATTTCCCAAATGGAGAGAAAGAAAAGGACTGCTACCAGAAAAGAGAGGAAATGGACACAGGACAAGGGGAAAAGCAAAAACAGGCCTTCAGCAAACACTTTCCTTAGTGGTTCTCAGTGGAGAGTGTTCTGTTGGCTCAAGGGCAAGTGAATGCAGCTTATATGCTGTATTACATATCTATTTCCAGATTGCTTGAACCTCATTGTGGAAGACTGATGAAATATAGCACAGCATAAGGATATTGGGGATGTTTCTTACTTAAATCCTCACAGCCTCGCCCCATTACTGTCATAGTTATATAACAATATTTTCAATAGTGGACCCCCAAAAAGAGGCTTCTTATACTTCTCTGGCCAACGATATGTTTTCATACCAGGTCAGGAAATAGATAGCACCCTTTTCTGGAAACTTGAGATGCATAGGATCTGAATTGCAGGCAGAATGTAAGTTCTCACGCATTGCTGGTATTCACTGTGCCCAGCTCCTGCCCTCCCTTGCAGTGCTCCATCCGGGAAACCAGAGAATTGATGGTTATCTTTTTGTAATAGCCCTTTCCTAAGCTCTTCTGTCTAGGTGTTCAGACAGCCCTGGGAAGGTGCTTTGTACAGGTTATTTTTCATAATCCTTAGCCTTCTTTAAAGAAGCTAGGGCTCAGCTGAGGTCAAAGACCCGGCTGGCTGGAAGCCTACATTCCTGGCTGCAGTGGCCCTGCATTCCCAGGCCCCAGTGGACAGGGCAGTCAAACCCCAGGCAGCGGAGGCCAGCAGCTTTGTACCCCTGTGTTGCTGGCATCCCAAGCCTATTGCCACAGCAGGCTGTCCCAGTCCCAGCCACCAAAAGCTCAAGCAGCTACCTTTGAATTCTAACGTGACCCCACTGGCGGGGTCCAGCCCAGCCACATACGGTAGCAGCTCCCCTCTCGGAGCTCCCCAAGGACCCCTCCCACCCTCATCCGAGGAGTTTTTCTTAATCTTAGAAGGCACTGAAATAAGTCCCACTGCTTCCACAGATTATCCGCCAGGAAATGAAACTTTCTGTCCTGCATAAATGGCTTTCTTTGCAGGAATCCCCCTTCTCATTAGACCAGCTGAAGGGAAAACAGTGCCAATATGATCATCCTTATATAAGAAATTTTAAAAATACGTATTTTTTGTTGAATTTTCTCAACCTCATCAAGGAAAATGACAGAATGTATGGACTTATTTAGCACATTACTATGAATTCAACTATAATAGCTCTCAGAATTGAACTTCCTTAACTGTCCACCACCCCTACCCATCTGAGAGTTGATACTAGGATTCTAGGAAAAAATGCTGCTTTCAGAATTTGCTGTGAATACACTTTGGTGGAGTAAAAGGAGGAAATCAGTCATGTATAAAGGAAAAATTTCTCCATATTCCAAAATGTGCAAAATAAGGGTAATTAGATTAGGAGAGTTGTCCGAGTTGCTATTAAATTAAAAGGAATACTTCGGTATACATTGTTTTGATCTTATTTCACAGCAATATACTGAGGAGAATTGAGGACATAGTTTGAAAGCAGAGTCATCTCTGAATCTTATTTCCAGCTCTACCACTTAATGGCTGTGTAACCTCAGGCAATTTACTTAACCCTCTCAGAGAAACCTGATTTTTCTCATCTATAAAATAGGGTTATTAATAGCTAGTTCATTGAGAATGAAATGAGATAATGCTTTTAAGGGCTTAGTGTAATATCTGGCCTGTAATAAATGCCCCCTAAATGATAGCTTATAATTGCATCTGTGGCACACAATTTAAAAACATTGAATGGATTTTCAAATACTTTAATTTTTCCTTTTATGTGTATCTTATTTAAATTATTTTCCTAAAATCAGTGCAGATTTTTCAATTTTCCAAAGCGTTATTCTTTAGAAATAACCACTGAAATATGTTACGTTTGTGAAACAGAGCAAAACAAATACTTCACTATCTCATGTTTTCCTTGGAGAGCGGGTGTGTATGTCCTCACTCTCTGAGATTGAGAAGTCCTGGCCAGACCAGTAAAGAACATTGAAATTGTTTGTTTGTGGAAACTAGGATAACTAAGGGGCTGTTTCAGTTACATAATGAAGGCAAGGTCATTTCATGTTGTTTATCTATAGCTAGTAGCTAAATGGGGGTTCTTATAGGTCAATCCCACTCTACCTGTCACTCTGCAAACTTGATCTTGTGTTTTAGGGACGATGAGGTTATGACTAAGATACAGTGGTTAAGAACACTCTGGGATCAGACCGTTAGGTTCCGTTTTTAGCTCTGCCACTTTCTAGCTGTGACAGTGGGTAGCTCATTTTACCTCCCTAAGCCTTAGCTTCCTCGACTGTAAAATGAAGAACACATTCTGACCTCAAAAGATCATAATGAAGACTCAAAGAGAGAATCTGTGTAAAAGATTTAACAGAGAAGGAGGCATAGGGTGCTTAAATGTTTCCTGTATGGCAGATGAATGACAATGATATTTCAGTGATTACAGTCACAGAACTAAGCTCTCATTCTTTTTCCTCAAAAATCTCAATAACAATTCTCAAGTGAAAATCAAACCCTAAGTTTGCCATCATGAGTATAGTGGAATTACCCACAGATGTATAGAATTAAGGAGCAGCAAGGGATTGTGCCTGGCATTGTCCAACTCACCCTACTGTACTTCTCTCTCTTTCCCTCATCCCCTAATCTCCACACTTCACAGAGGAGGAATTGAGGCCTGGAGGGTATAAAGGACTTGAGGGCAGGAGCTCTGCTGCTCAGTAGAGGAGCTGGAAGTCCAACCCAGGTGTTCTGCCGGTCGGTGTTTTGCCCAGTGTTCCATATGCCTCCCTAATATCTGTGTGCTATTGATGAAGTCTTTGTCATTTACATATATCATTCACCCAGAAAAGTATGCCAAAAGCAGTTTGAAAGTATGAAATGCTATTAAGAAAGTCAATTCATTCTTCAAAGGAAAGCAAGGATTTTACTTCAGGAAGCTGTCACTGATATTTTATTAGGTGCTAAGTGCTGAGCCCTTCTATTCCATTCTTCCCATCCTCAGCCCTTATTTCTTAGTGTTTGGGCTGTGTTCACATATCACTCTCACCTGAGCAGGCAGAATGGCCCCTGTTTCTCAGGCCTTGGGTTTTATTGCTAGGAAACCAGGCTGCTAGAATCCGATGGAGTTCTATCAAGGGGCTGAGGCACAGAGAGCGTGATTTCTGCTGAGGCAGCTCCTCTTGCTCCACACTGGACCCTCTGAAAGACTGCAGGTGCCGAGCCCACAGGCCTCTTTTATTACTGAGCTGGCTCCTTTGGCTGCTGCTTCCATTTTCTCCTCAGATAATCTGATCTCTCAATTGTCTTTCTTTCATAGCTTCCGGTCACCCACACTGTTTCTTTTGCCACCTTGAACTTGGTTCTGACCGGGAAGTGCCTTCCAGATTTGCCAGTCACGTGAATGTCGAGTTCAGCATGCCCACAACTTCTGCCTCCAAAGCCACCGTGAGATCTATCTCCGTGGAAGACAAGACTGACGTCAGGAAGTGGGTCAATTATTCTGCACACTACAGCTACCAGGTAGCCTTAGGAGGTGTCTGGCTAATGCTTCCAAGTCCATTTGTTCACCCCACTACCCTCCCCTTCTTATTCCTTTTAGCAATGCTTAGTATGTTTGCCTGGTAACCTCTTACTGACTTAGAGGAAGTTCAACATATTACATAGCTGTGGATGCATCTGCTCTGATTTAAATCCATAATCTGGCTAGTGGATGAGAGAAAGGTTGGAAAAAAAGAGGCTCATCAAAGAGGAGAATATAATGTCTTTCTGTCATTATGAGCAATGACAACGGAAAGAATAATGGGGTCCAGGCACAGTGGCTCACACCTGTAATCCCAGCAGTTTGGGAGGCAGAGGTGGGCCGATTACTTTAGTTCAGGAGTTCAAGACCAGCCTGGCCAACATGGTGAAACCCTATCTCTGTGAGTACAAAAATTAGCTGGGCATGGTGGCGTGTGCATCTAGTCCCAGCTACTCAGGAGGCTGAAGCAGGAGGATCACTTGAGTCTGGGAGGTTGAGGCTGCAGTGAGCCATGGTTGCACCACTGTACTCCAGCCTGAGCGACAGAGCAAGACTCTGTCTCAAAAAAAGAAAAAGAGTAATGGGGTAAAGGAGTTATTATTATTCATTTGCAATGTAATTTATGTCACAGAGTAGTGAGCTTGGAAGTGGAGGGGAGAAAGTGCTATCCCACAGCATATGTTTCATTTAGAGATGATGAAGTGGACCTGAACAAAGTTAGAAAACACATGACTTAGGTACTGGGCTGTAACAGGGCAAAAGTCAAACGACAAGCAAACGAGCAAACGTTTATAATAGCAACGGGGTCTGGGCTGTGGAAGGAATCATGAAAGTCGGAGTTTTCTGACATAAATAGAAAGTGATACTTTCCAGAAGAGTGCCAATGACTGAAAAGGGAGTTTATTAAAGAAGACGATTGCAAAGTGGTTTTCTATTTATAGTAATATCCTTGGAATTATATGGTGATTTATTGTTACTCTGTTTCTTTAGTTGTGTGGGCCAAAACATTTAACTACCAAAAAGAACAAACACTCCATCTTGTGGCTAGGAAAAAAATAGCACTTCCCTCAAACCTGACTGTTGTGTGTTGAATCATTACCCTATATGTCAAGCATCATAAATATCCAAAGTGGTGCTGAGAGGAGCAACCTTAACCCTGAACTCAAAGAATTCCTTGCCTGAGCTAGCAAAGCTTTTGGTTGAGATGTGTTACTTTCAAAGATGAATCTATTAATTTCTTGATAATTACAGCTACAGTACTTTGGAGAGGATATGGTAGAACTGTAAACACTCCAGTATCTATCAGTTTGGAGGTTTTCTAGAGGGATAGTATTGAAGGTAGCTGGGTGCCATGGCTCATGCTTGTAATCCCAGACCTTTGGGAGGCTGAGGCAGGTGGATCATTTGAAGTCAGGAATTCAAGACCAGCCTGGTCAACATGATGAGACCCTGTCTCTACTAAAAATACAGGAATAGCCAGGCATGGTGATGCATGCCTGTAATCCCAGCTACTCTGGAGGCCGAGGCAGGGGAATCACTTGAGCCCGGGAGGTAGAGGTTTCAGTGAGCTGCGAGCCAAGATTGTACCACTGCACTCCAGTCTGGGTGACAGAGTGAGACCCTGCCTCCAAAAAAAAAAAAAAAAAAGTATTGGAGAGGTACAAACAGTTAATTACGAAGGAGTTAATTCATTTGATAAGTCTCTGTCAATTGCCCACTGTATTCCTACATTATTGCATATAATACTGAACAAGATCCTGCCCATCTTATGGATCCCATGGTGTAGTGGAGCCAGACAAGTGTCCAAGGTACAGTGGAAATACTCACAGGGAGAAGTACCTAAGACTACTTAATAAGTCAAAAATAGCTTCACAGAAGGGGTGACCTTTGACCAGATGTACAAGGCAAAGAATAAGAATTGTCCAGGTGGACCATGAGGTAAAGGGAATTACACACCAATAAAAGTACATGTGCAAAGAGAGAGACATGATACATTCAGGGCCAGTAGCTCCAATGTGGCTAAAGCCCAAAACTAGCAAAATTACAAGAAATCTCTAAGTACCTTTGGAGTTTTGGTTTATTTCTTTATTTGCATGTTTTTCTCTTTTTTTTTGATATTTATCTCCAACTTCTATTCTTGGCAGGTGGAAATTGAGCAAAAAAAGAGTTTGAAGTCAGAGTTTGAAGGAGATGAAATGGAAAATCCCAAAGAGTGTGGAGTGCAGTGACAAAGCCTTGCGGCAAGGAATCCTGATCCCAGAGTCATGATAAGGTGTCTTCCTGAGTACATGAAGTTTAAGTCAATAGCTGCTGTGGCCTCTCCATGTTGGGAACAGTGGACCAGATCTTCCTGTTTGCAGTTACTTGTATTTTACCAGGAAACCCTGAGAATGGTGGCTTTTGGAGAGGCTCTTTGATTCTGGTCATGCCTGAAGCATGTGGTTCACCTGACTGTTGGAGCTTACTATATTATTAAGCCCTCTTATGTTGTCTCTGCTAATCTCGCAGCACTGGTATGTGGTTTGTTGTGACTGTTAGAGTCAGGAAGAGAACCTCCCACATCAGTGATGGCACGATTCCCTTCTGATGTTCATCTGTCTCTCACTTAAGTTTCTGGAAAAGGCAGTCTTGAGAAGTTAATTAAGAGTCCATCTCTTTCACTCCATCTAGAAAAGGTTCAGAAAATGTGCAAAACAAATTTCCTCTTTGGGTCTTACTAGACTTTTTGGAGGTGTCTGTCTCCATTCTTTAGATGTTAACACTGTGCAACAGAAGTTTCCAGGACATTTCCTCCTGGCTCTGCATTGTTTATATTAGAACACTTTTTCCATCTCTCTAGGGTTTCAGTCACAGGATTTGCTATCCTGAGTCACAATAGACAATGGGAAGAGGCACAATAGGAGACTTTAATTCTGTGAATGGACCCACATTCTGTAAAATGGCTGTTGAGGGGAAGGCAAAATTAAGCTTAGTTTTCTTCTCTCTGGAGAAAAGAGACATTAAATGTAAGATGATGTTCAGTTCAAGAGGTAGATTCAATCTCAGTGAGTTCCCAAATTCACACTGAAAAATCGTCCACTTCTGATTCCTGAAACAAATATATGTAATACCTCAGGCATTTGTAAAGGCATTTGGGAGTTCTTGTTACACCTCATGACCAATAGACAGTTGCATGTCCCTTTAACCCAAACTTTATAGAAAATTTAAGCTGCAGTGATAATTTTTAAAACTGTTTTGAAATTAAGCTTGAATGAGCTTTCCCCCAGAATTTAGATTTTGATCATCGCAGTATTGTAATGGATTGAGAAAGCAACTCTAGGGTAGAGATAGGAAAAGCCATATTTTTCTAATGTTGGGAACATTAAATCCTGATTGCAGGAGTCAGGACACTCACGTCATCTTTTTCTTCATCTGTTTCTGGGACACTTAATCTTCTTTTTCTTCATCTCTTCCTAATCACCTGTTTCTTATTTGTGTCTTGGTGTCTCTCCCATGAAGACTAGAGTCAGGGGACAGAAGACACACTTTATCACATTTGTAGATGATACAGAAGTGAACAACATCTCCAGGTTTTGGCTGATGGATTCAAGATTAATGGATTCAATGAGCAATCATTGGATTCTAAGTATGTATTGACACTGGGATATAGAAATAGTTACAGTATTTTGAAATATCTAAACATAGGCCGGGCGCAGTGGCTCACACCTGTAATCCCAGTACTTTGGGAGGCCAAGGCGGGTGGATCACGAGGTCAAGAGACCGAGACCATCCTGGTCAACAAGGTGAAACCCCGTCTCTACTAAAAATACAAAAATTAGCTGGGCATGGTGGTACGCGCCTGTAGTCCCAGCTACTCGGGAGGCTGAGGCAGGAGAATTGCTTGAACCCAGAAGGCGGAGGTTGCAGTGAGCCGAGATTGTGCCATTGCACTCCAGTCTGGGTAACAACAGTGAAACTCCGTCTCAAAAAAAAAATATATCTAAACATAAGACTGAAACTAAAAGAATGATTAAATAGGCATTAATGAGAAACCCTATAGTGGGGTTTTTTTTTTTAAATGAAACCCTCTAGTGTGTGTTTGTGGATGTGTGTTTATGTGTGTGGTGTCAATGTGAAGGGTGTTAGGAAGATCTGGTGTCACAGTAGTTTATAGAGAAATATTTCCTTACAGAAATGGAGGTTTAATTTTGAATATATCATGAAATATATCAGAAATATATCATGGCTATTCACAAAGCTAATGTGTTCAGCTGGTGTTAATAAAAGCTTTGCTTGCTTTTATTAACCCTCCATCTAGTCTACATCTAAATGGAGTGTTGGGTTCATTTATGGGTATCATAGTTTAAGAGAGACATTAATAAGTTGATTGTGTCCAGAGGCAGGTGAACAGGCTTGTAAAGGGTCTGATTATACAAGAACAAGGGAATAGCTTCCCTGAAGGAACAGAAGATATAGCTGGAAAGGGAGTGCAGACAGGGAGGGAATGATATCATAGCTGCCTCAAAATTTCTGTTGAGCTATAAAAAGGAAGAGGAATTAGATTATTTTGTGTAGCTTCAAAGGGCAAAAATAAGAACAAAGTGGAACTCTACAGATGACAAGTATTTGCTTCAATATAAGGAAGAATTTTCTAATAAGGGTTGTTGTAAAGAACAATAGACTCAATTTAGTAAAATTTCCAGTTCCTGTGAATGCTCAATCGTTAAAATAACCACCTATCCCACAGGCTGTGAAAGGGAATCTTACATTGGATTTATTTGGTCAATATGTCTACCAAGATTCCTTCTAAATATAGGTTTAGTCTCAATAGTAATAAGACTCTCTAACTTCAGTTGTCTTTTTCTTCATAAGTGATTTTTCATGCTCTTTAAAATACAGTGGAGTTCCTTTGAGGATTTCAACGCATATCTCTTCCACTGTTGTACTAAACTTTTGAGATTGATTCCTCATAGAACATCTAAATGGATTGGAGAGTTGGCAAGGGGAATGTTCATCCCAGAACCTTCCTTAGTCACTCTGGCTTAGCACTGTGTTAAGATCTCTGCCTCATCTGCTGGCATCACATGCGGTTTGCTTGTTGGAGCTTATTTTTCCCCCCATGGTTAATTCTCATTCATTGCCTGCATACATGCACCTGGACTTTTTTTTTTTTTAACCAAGAGTTGGGAAAAATCCCTTCTATGCTATCTATATTCTGCAAGCACATTATTATTATATTATATTATTATTATGTTGAGATGGAGTTTTGCTCTTGTTGCCCAGGCTGCAGTACAATGGCATGAGGTTAGCTCACTGCAACCTCTGCCTCCAGGGTTCAGGCAGTTCTCCTGCCTCAGCCTCCCAAGTAGCTGGGATTACAGATGCCCACCTCCATGCACCGCTAATTTTTTTATTTTTAGTAGAAATAGGGTTTCATCACATTGGCCAGGCTGGTCTTGAATGCCTGACCTCAGGTGATCCACCTGCCTTGGCTTCCCAAAGTTTTGGGATTACAGGTGTAAGCCACTGCGCTGGGCCTGCAAATTATTATTAATTTTTAAAAACCTAACATCTTAATTTCATCAAATTTGTTTTCCCTCTACTGTTTTTAGGAAACTGATTATGAGTAGCATATAGGGGTTTGGGGAATATAATACTATATATTTTTAGACATAATGAGTATTTTACTAGGTTTGAATAACTTCTGTAGAAAACACAATTGGGCGAATTACCTATGTAATAACCTACACAGAAAACAGTCGGGCAAATTACCTGTGGATGCACAGATTTTACGTTTGCCATCCTGGACCTGGACTTTAATTTTGTGTGTGTGTGTGGTCACAAATAATCTTTGTTATCAATAATGTGAAAATATTAAAAATGAATTCATTTTACCAATATATAGAATTACTATTAGAACATAAATTGGATATCCCATGGTATCAAGACCTGTGCTTTCTTTTCAGTCTAGGGCCTGCTTTTTGACATTGCAGCAAGAAGATAAGAAATGTACTCATTATGAAATGTCAGACAAGACAGTTGAGGCACTTTGTGGGGAGACCATTAGATCCCCTTGCCTGCTCTTGCAGACATAGTACTAGTTATTCCTTATGAAAAGTTTGCATTTCATTTATATTAAATATTATCTGGACAGTTTTGTTTTTTCTATTTAGTTCTTCCTTTAACTGTGCTTTCCTGCCTATTGGCAGGGTTCATAATTCTTGAGAACACTGTTTTATTTAAATTTTTTTTTTTTTTTGGAGACGGAGTTTCGCTCTTGTTACCCAGGCTGGAGTGCAATGGCATGATCTCAGCTCACCACAGCCTCCACCTCCTGGGTTCAGGCAATTCTCCTGCCTCAGCCTCCTGAGTAGCTGGGATTACAGGCACGCGCCACTATGCCCAGCTAATTTTTTTTTGTATTTTTAGTAGAGACTAGATCACCATGTTGATCAGGATGGTCTCGATATCTTGACCTCGTGATCCATCCGCCTCGGCCTCCCAAAGTGCTGGGATTACAGGCTTGAGCCACCGCGCCCGGCCTAAAATATTTTTTATTTGAAATGAGACTAATTTCTATTCAAATTGTGACTGGTAATAAGAGTTTATTTCCCTAGAAACTTATGTTTCTGAGAAATGAGATCCATGAAAGCAAGGAATATATATAATTTTTTAATATTTCCAACAGTTAGCACAAAGCTTGGAATATAGCAGGGTTCAGCCACCTTAAATGCTTGCCGGTAGGGCAAACATATACTCATGAAATAAAGGAAAATGATTATGTATTCAATAAACGTTTGCCAAAAGAATACTGACCCTGAGACTCTAAGGCTACTTAACCCTTACTTATCATCAAATACTCACAGTTAAAGCCAGCAAGCATGCTTTTATTCCCTGAAGGACTTAAATAATTTTGCTTTCCTTTTATTCTTGCCTCCACAGTCAACTCATAAAACCTGTCAGCACTTAGGCACTTAATATGCTGCTGACTTTGAACTACAGTGTGCCTCATTCACATTGAAAAACATTTTTGTGCCCAAAAGCATAGGAGCAAAGATGCTGTCCATAGTCCAGATTACTGATTGCTTTGTTCCTGCAAGTCAAACAGATCTATGAGCCTGAGCCTTGCCCATTTCAACGGTCAGTAGGAAAACAAACCATTTGATAGAGTGCACAACCAGTGTCAATGCTAGGTCTTTGCTCTTCCTGGCATTAACCGCCGACCGTTACTGGGCATTTATTTTGTCACCACAGTGAGATGGACATCTGACATAGAAAGGTCGAAATTTTTAAGATAAAATCATTATTTCAGAGGTGATATATATTTCATAATAAGTTTAGTAGTGGGAAAACAGAATGAGCTGAATTTTTTTCTTAAAAGCCTGGGGAATATTAAATTCATTTAAGTAGGAATCATTGCAATCCAGCCTACTTACAGAAATTCTCCCAGTTGGAATGGTAACTTTAACTCATCTGAAAATGAGGATTACATGTTAATTCCAGCATATCTAGACCTTGGGTCTGTAATGTCCAATCTTTTGGCTTCCCTGGGCCACACAGGAAGAAGAATAATTTTCTTGGCCATACATAAAATAAACACTAACAACAGCTGATGAGCTTTTAAAAAATGGCCCAAAAATAGCATATATATATATTTTTTTCTTTCTTTCTTTTCTTTTTGAGACAGAGTTTCACCCTGTCACCTAGGCTGGAATGCAGTGGCGCAATCAGCTCACTGCAACCTCCACCTCCCAAGTTCAAGTGACTTTCCTGCCTCAGCCTCCCAAGTAGCTGGGACTACAGGCGTGTACAACCACACCTGGCTAATTTTTGTATTTTTAGAAGAGATGGAATTTCACTATGTTGGCCAGCTGGTCTTGAATGCCTGACCTCAGGTGAGCCACCACACCTGGCCAAAACAGCATTATGTTTTAAGAAGTTTATGAATTTGTGTTAGACCACATTCAGAGCCATCGTGGGCCTTGGGTTGGACAAGCTAGCCTTAAGTCATGTCAAGAATGCAATTTAGGCCAGGCGCAGTGGCTCACACCTATAATCCCAGCACTTTGGGAGGCTGAGGTGGGTGGATCATGAGGTCAAGAGATCGAGACCATCCTGGTCAACAAGGTGAAACCCCGTCTCTACTAAAAATACAAAAATTAGCTGGGCATGGTGGTGCGCGCTACTCGGGAGTAGCTGTAATCCCAGCTACTCAGGAGGCTGAGGCAGGAGAATTGCTTGAACCCAGAAGGCAGAGGTTGCGGTGAGCCGAGATCGTGCCATTGCACTCCAGTCTGGGTAACAACAGCGAAACTCCGTCTCAAAAAAAAAAAAAAAAAAAAAGAATGCAATTTAAAAGGAATTTCAAACATAACTAACGAAAAATTAAATCTACAGAAAAATATCATTTGGGGCTGGGCACCTTGGCTCACGCCTGTAATCCCAGCACTTTGGGAGGCCGAGTTAGATGGATCACCTGAGGTCAGGAGTTTGAGACCAGCCTGCCCAACATGGTGAAACCCACTCTCTAATAAAAGAAAGAAGAAAAAAAATACTTGGTAAACGCATTGTCTTGAACACTTCACTACCAAATCCCATTAAAACCATGTCAATTCTTTACATAAAATTAGGGGATTCTCGCCAAGTTTCTAAAGATGATTTTTAAACATTACCAATGTTTAAATGCTAATTCCATGAATCACCATTTCTTACCTTTTTTTGAGACTGGCTTTAGATATCATGACTCATATTTATGTATTTAAGGAATTAAACGTGCAGGAGATGTATAAGGCAACCACAAATGTAGAAAATAAATGTATGTGTTAGTAATAGTCTCCCAATTTCCTCTAGTGTGCCGTAGCAAATCTGCTGGAGAACATCTTTTTCTTTGTTTTGAGAATTGAAAAAAAAATGCCTCTCTCAACTTGGCAATGCTAAGGCTGTAAAGGCAGAAACTATCCATAGTAATGAGTTTGGTAGTGCTTGGAGAGAGAGGCAAACGATAATTGGATGTAGGAAAAGCTATAAGAAAACAGACTAAAAAAAAGAATTTCAATATGAAAAAGTAAATTATAGAGAGATGACAAATCAGCATTGGGTACCAAGACTCAAAATACTTTAACTAGAAGCCATCTCTAAAAGTTAAAAGTAAGAAGCTCTAGGAAAAATAAAGATTGCATAGTAAAAGGGGATAGATGACAGAATTAATTCAACTCAACAAATATTTATCAAGTGTCTACTCTGGTCAGGTGCTGTGTTAGCAGTCAGCTTCCCTAAAGGGAGGAAAGGCTAGACATGAGAACACTGAGGATTGTTTATATAAAGTTGCTAATAGGCGTGCCATAATGGATGGATTTAAGGGAAAATTGGGGTTTCTATGAGTCTTTAAAGGACATAGCTATGGAGACAATCACTTGCTTAAGTAACTTGCTATTTTCCCAATTGGGCTTCAGTTTCCTGAAACAAAAAGTGAGGAAGTTAGATTAATTGTTTGTTCAAGTCCTTTCTAATTCTAAAGTTATGAGTTATTTTACAAAATATCCATTGGTGCCACCTTTCAGTGACTTCATATATTTGTAAGAACCAAGAATTTTAAACTATGAAGATTAGAAAAATCAGCTGGTCCATCTTTTTCCTTTTCATATCTTTTTTTTTTTTTTTTTGTCATTTCCCTAGACAGCAGAAACACAGCCAACCTTCCAAATCCTCTATTTTGCAATTGCCTTCCAAACACAGATTTAAAAAGAGGATCAAAGAGGGATGCTTCTTTGGAAGTTCCACTGCCATCATCCATTAGAGAACAATGGTATAAGTGTGAAGAGCTACAGACAGGTCTCCAAAATGGATATTAGGATTTGGGTACCATTTGACACAGAAGTAGGTCTAGCCCTCCAAGTACTGAGGATGCTAGGATGATGGTGATGTGTGTGTGTATGTGTGTGTGTGTGTGTGTGTGTGTGTGTATGTCTTATGTCATTTTGTATAAAATATTGTGAAAATTGAAGGAGGACACTCAGTAAACATCATCCTGGGACTATTTGTAAGTTATAGCAAAACCAGATGAGAGAAAGGAACAGTCCCCTCTGCATCCTCACTGTCTCTTAGTCAATTGTAATTTAAAAAAATTTAAAACTATGTACAAGTTACAAAATAGCATCTCCCTTGTGGTATGTTTGAGTGTGTAATTTTAGTTTCTTTTCTGGTTGTGCTTGTGGTAGTCAGGTATGTTGGATTGATTCCAACTGGACAGAGTAAGGAATTCCAGCATCCTCTTCCTGTTTGCTCCTGTGTTCTCCCTCAGATCAAACCCTCTGTTCTAGCAGGGGATGCTGTCTAGTCCCATACTGTGACTGAAGCCTTAAGTACTGTTGCACCTCCATGTGCTTTGGATCAGCAACCCCAGTAGTATTTTACCAGAGCAGTTCTGGGAAAGCAGATGTACAGTCAGGTCCCAAGAGCAAACTCTTGGGTGTAAGAGTAAATATAGGGGTGGGGAAGGAAAGAGAAGGATATGAACTCCTCTAACCTTAAGCCAGCATTCATTTAACCTTTATGTCTGCTTGCCAAGAGAACCTGGAGAAAGCTACCATATTCAATAGATGAATCAAAATCAGTGTTTTAGCCAGGCGGTGACAGAGAAGCAGCATTTTTCACCCTACATTCTTGTAATGTCTATAATAAATGTTAATGCATCAGAATGGATGAACCCAAGATCTAGTGAATGATTCAGCTGATCCAAGCCTTGCATTTTCCATCATTTATCATCCATCCTCATTTAATGTAACCTCTTGCACTATTGTGGTTAATTTTATGTAAAACCAGTTTATGTTTTGTTAAATATGTGCCTATGTAATAAAGTCTACACACTGGCTATCTCTGTAGAGGTGAGGTTTTGTTTTTAGTTGTTCTACTGATTAGATCCTTTTTTGAGCTATGAAAGTTATTAATAAAAATTTTTGAACAAAGTGTCACTATGCAAAATTTAATGAGGTCAGACATAATGAAGAGTAATGTTTATTAATATAAGGCCAGTCACCCAACTTATATGGTTAGTGATCATAAGCTGACAAATTAACAAATGACCTGTTTAATTATCCTAGTTATTATAGATATAATTTAGTCCATTCCAATTTTGTGCCTAATTCTGTGAGAAAACAAATAAAAATGGTTAAAATCCTTGAGGTTTTCTTGAATATATGTACACAAATATATGATAAGTGAGAAATATAAATGAGCATGTAATCAAATAATTTGCATTATGTTCCTGACATATTGTCAGTGCTAAACAAATAATTGTTCAATTGATTGATGAATTCAAATTACTAATGTCAACATAACTTGGATGAGAAAAAATCAGTGTAGATTAAAACACTTGGGAAATTTTCACAGGAAAGATGGCTGTCAGCTGAGACCTGGAGGTGGGGTAAATTTTGACTTCACTACATGTGAAGAGAATGTAGTTTAGGGAAAAGACAAGAGTTAAAGTGGTATGTTGGGCTAGCAGGAGATCAGATGGACCCAGGTGAAGGACTCATGAATATCCAGAGATAAAACTGATGGTTAAGCCAAGCTATGGCAGGGCTTGTTTCTAGCCTGAGTTGTAACACAGTCTACTAAATGCAGTGAAGCAATTTTTGAATCTTGGCCATGAAGCATTATTCTAGAAAAATTAGTCTGTCAATACTGTGCTGAGCATTTTGGATTTTAGGAAAGATTAAAGGCCAGGAAAATAATCTGTAGGGTTTCTGAGGTAAACAAGGCAAAAAATAAACAAAGCTTTTGTGTTTTATTTAGTTTGAAGCAACCAGAAACATTTTATTGCAAAATATAATCATGCACAAGGGAGAACTCAGACCAGGTCAGTGGCCTCCTGCTGTCAAGAGATCTCTGTCATTAGCAGAACACAGAGAATAGTATAACATAGTCAGTACCAAATTACATAGTATCAGGTGTGCAAAAGAGTTACTAAATAAAAGCATAATATTAAGTTGAATATTCTGGGGATATTATGCTCCTTCCCACTATTCTTCCATCCCTACCTGTCCAGAGTCCCCTTGAACAAGTTGTGAGAGCTAATTGCCTAGATTCAACATTGTCACAAGGCTTTTGTCTTCTAGGATTCCCCTTTCCTTTAATATCCCATGAGAAATAACTATCTGAGTAACTATTTGAAGCCAAGCACACACCCCAGTGTTCCTCAGGATTTGGGTAGGGAAGTTGAAGTCCAGAAGAAGTGAAGATGCGAGTTTAAATGTCCTCACTGTTATTTGTTCCTTCTCTTTCCAAACTCCTCTCAGCCCCTCCTTGATCTTCTCCAACTATTGCCTCTCTTTTCCTCTATCTAGGGCAGATTTCTGTATTCCCCAAATAGAATAATGTTAGCTAATATTTTCATAATGCAGATACTCTGGGGCAGCCACTGGTACTATTTTAGGCACATTATTTAATAAAGGTAGCTTCCTCTCCATTCTGCAAGGCACGAATAATTCAAGAGTAGGGGGTATAACAGATGTTTACTGAAGATTAGCAATCACTGGTGAATATCTACAGCACAAAAACAAGAAAGAATTTTAAACTGAATATCATGGTTTGCCCCAACTGCTGACCATCACACCCAGCGCAAGCCTCGTGGATCCTTGGGTGGTGTGTTTGCTCCTCCTCTGCTCCAGGATGATCTGCCAGGAGACCCAGAGACCCTCTACTCCTTCTCCTAAGCCTCCCCAGGGAGCGACATTCCCATAGCCCCAAAGCCAGGCATGCCGCCCTCCTCACCACCGAGTCGGAACAGTTGGTCCACATCCAGAGGTATTAAGCTGCGGCCCTTCTCAGACTTGGGGCCTGCAACATGCCCGCGGTCTTTGGTGAGAGTTGGAAGAAACACATCAATGGAGAGTTTGGAAAACTGTATTCTATAAAACAATTGGGATTTCTTGCAGAAGAAAGACAACATTATACTGTTTATCCTCCCCAACACCAAGTCTTTACCTGGACCCAGATGTGTGACATAGGAGGTGTGAAGGTTGTCATCCTGGGATAGGAGCTACATCACAGACCCCATGAAGCTCATGACTCTGCTTTCATGTCCAGACACCTGTGTGACCTCTGCCTAGTTTGGAAAACATTTATGAAGAGCTACCTACAGACAGATAGTTTTGATCATCTTGACCATGGAGATTTATCTGGGTGGGCCAAACAATGTGTTCTACTCACCATCTTCACTGTGCAAACGCATCAAACCAATTCTCCTGAGAGAGGCTGGGAGCATTTTGCCAATGCAGTTGTGTCCTGGCTAGATCAGAACTGAATGACCTTGTCTTCTTGATCTGGGCTCTTATACTCAGAAGGAGGGCAGTGCCATTGATAGGAGATGGCACTGTGTACTGTGGGTGGCTCACCTCTTGTGGTTCTTGGTGTATAGAGAGTTCTCTGGATGTAGACACTTATTCCAAGACCATTGAGCTGCTGCAGAAATCCAGCAAGAAGCTCACAGACTAGAAGGAGCTGTAATCCTCAACTGAGGGGTAGAAGGTCTGTCTCTTGGTGGTTTTTGAGAAGCTGTTGTTCAAGTATTTGTCATTTATGAAGTCAAATTGAAAATTTCTGAATTTATCCTTAAGTACTCTGTGTAAGGGGGCAAAGCTTCCATTAAAGCAGCCATGAAGCAGGCTGCTCAGGAATTGCAGCTCTATCCAGCCAGACACAGCAAGGCTACTCTTTGACCAAATGTCTTTCTCTGCAACATGGCTTCAGCCCAAAATGTGCAAACTTCTCAGAAGACAGGTGAGGTCAAATATTCACTCGCCTCTCTTCATCACCTTTATCTTTATGTTTCAGGGGGGAGATTTCACCTTTTTGGTACAGCCCTAGTATTGTACCTGCTGCTACTAGGTTTTGCCTGATTAGACTTCCAGTTACAAGGTGTTGGGGTGTTTTTGCTTAGAAAGGAACCCTTTTCCAGCCTGGCTGGTATTCCAGTCCCAGCCAGGTACATTGCCCCCTTGATCATCAGGGAGCCCTCACGCCCCTCCATAAAGGAAGCATGAGGATGTTTTGCAAGTTTCCAGAAATCAAGGCTCAATTTCCTAATTGTAGGGAAGATGAAGTTTCCTAAGGAATAGTCCATGGTGTGAGCCTTAACAGATAGCCAGGAACTGAGAAAAGTGACCTGGGTCTTGTTATTCTTTGGTTGTTTTGTGGAATTTGAATAAAGTAGAGGAGAAGAGGGATTTTTCTTAAATGCAGGGTGAGCTTCTCCTAGAGTTATCTCGAGTTGGGGTTCTTAAGCCTGTAATCCCAGCACTTTGGGAGGCCAAGGCGGGTGGATCACGAGGTCAAGATATCGAGACCATCCTGGTCAACATGGTGAAACCCCGTCTCTACTAAAGATACAAAAAATTAGCTGGGCATGGTGGTGCATGCCTGTAATCCCAGCTACTCAGGAGGCTGAGGCAGGAGAATTGCCTGAACCCAGGAGGCGGAGGTTGCCCTGAGCCGAGATCGCTCCATTGCACTCCAGCCTGGGTAACAAGAGTGAAACTCCGTCTCAAAAAAAAAAAAGACAGCACAAACTGCCAAATGCTGTTTTATTATAGACTGTAATCACTTTGGGATATTTTTTCTGAAACACTGAAAAGTTTTTGTTTAACAAAAAATACTTATGCAGGCTGGGTGTGGTAGCTCACACCTGTAATCCCAGCACTTTGGGAGGCCAAGGCAGGCGAATCACAAGGTCAGGAGATCAAGACCATCCTGGCTAACATGGAAACCCCGACTCTACTAAAAATACAAAAATAATTAGCCGGGCCTGGCGGCACGCATCTACAATCCCAACTCAGGAGGCTGAGGCAGGAGAATTGTTTGAACCTAGGAGGCGGAGGTTGCAGTGAGCCAAGATCATGCCACTGCACTCTAGCCTAGGCAACAGAGTGAGACTCTGTCTTTAAAAAAAAAAAAACAAGCAAAGGAACAGGATAAAATCTATTCACCACCTATCGAGAGCAAACCCAATTCTCTCCCCTCTTTTTCGACCCCCTCCTTTACCCTCTCTCTTGTCTCTTGTCTCTTTTCTTCACTAACAGGCATGAAGTCCTGAGAGCCTAGACTAACCTGGTGGCGGTGGCAGAGAAAGGGACATATCTTAGAGATCTGAAACAGTCCCCAATTATATCTGCCCAGGTAGACTGCTTTTTGCCCACACTCCTATTGCCTATCTCATTAGTTGCCTTTAATACTTGTGTGCTTTTTAATATTTTATATTTATTAGATTTGTTCTCCTCATTACAAAAGCAATAGTTCATTAAGAGAACTGGGTTTCTCAGTGTGTGGCAAAGTACACCAAAAATAATATGAATCAACAAACGCAAATCAATGTGCAATTAAAAATAACAAATTTAATTTTGCATTCTAATAAAACGTTCTTGTAATCTTCAATTGCAGTCAATCCCTGCTTCCATTACTGAGGATCTGCAGTCTGGAAAGTCTTCTCCCTACTGTTGCTTTTCTTTCTCTTTTCAGCTCCAAGGTTAGTGCTGTCAGGAGTGCTGCAAACATGTTTCATTTTAATTTGTTGGGCAATACAGAATGTATCCCCTTTACTTAGCACAATCTATAAGGAGAAATAGGAAAAACACCAAAGTAATTTTCCCCATTTTTAGTCAGTTCCTCAATGCAACACTTCTGACACCAACTCCAGAAATAGAAAAAAAAAAAAAAAACAGGACGTATTTTGCCTGTTCTCTACTCTCACACAGTCACTCAGCACTTCTGGCATCAGGTGTTTGGGGGTTTTCTGCCACAAATCAAGCAATTCTGCAGTGGATTCTGCAGCAGATTCTCCAGCAGACAGCAGCTGGGTGTCCTCCAGTTCACTATCCACCTGGAATGAACTGGTAGTTCTGACACCATGTACCTGGAAATAGCATCAGATCTCATGGGTTGAGGGGCTGAGTATTATCCATCATCGCCCCCCACTTGAGATGCCACGGATTGTGGCATGAGCTTGTTTCTGACTGACTGGTTATAAACAGGGGTCTTTCATTCTCCTTGCTGAGTTTCAATTAATTTCCTAGGGCATCTCACAAAACCCAGAAAAACACTGTTTTCTTGTGTTTTATAAAAATATTACAAAAGATACAGATAAATAACCAAATGGAAGAGATTTATGAGGCAAAGTGAGGGAGAAGGAGGGCAGAACGTCCATGCCCCTACAAAAACCTCCATATGTTCACCTATCCAGAAGCTCTCTGAACACAGTCCTTTTAGGTTTTTAATGGGAGTTTCATCATGCAAGCATGATTGATTACAACATTGGCCTTTGGTGATCAACTCAACCTTCAGCCCCTCTTCCCTCCCTCTGAGATCGGGGTATCCCTCTAATTGTGCCACAATCTTTCCAGTAACCAGACCCCATCCTGAAGCTATCTAGGAGCCCCCAGACACCAGTCATATCATTAGCACCCAAAAGACACCCTTATCATTCCATAGATTCTGACGGTTTTAGTAGCTATATGTCAGGAAACAGGAAGAAGACCCAATATTTGTTTCACAATATCACCAACTTCTAATAAGGGAATGACAATGGCAATGAAAAAGAAAGGCTACATGCAAAGGAAGAATGCAAGCACTTAGTGACTAGTCTGAATGATGGAACAAAAGAAAAGGAATCAATGCTTTAGAGATGCTGAACCTGGTCATGTTAATCCTACAAGTAGCCTATCTGAAACCCCAATGTTTTTTTTTCTCAAAAAGTTGCTATTTTTCTACCAAAATACCAAATAAAAAGTTCTATACTAATATATCCTTTCCTAAGATTTTTAAATTATGAACTTGATGAGTACTCAAGACATCAGTCTGCTGCTCAGTTTAGAGAAAGCTAACAAGAAAGTCTAAAACCTTGAAAGCTACATAACCAAAGAAAAGAGCAAAACCCCAGGACACCCCATGAAGGTGAAGACTTCTTTTTTTTTTTTTTTTCCGAGCTAGCTGAGATTTTATTTTGGACCAAAAAAAAAAAAAGCAATTGAATTGTTTTGCAACTGGAGGCATGGGCAAGGGGGGTCCCCAGGCAGTAAACTCCCCGCTGGTGGGCTGAGGGCTAGGGCTGAGCGCCGGTGGGCTGAGGGCTAGGGATGAGCGTCAGGTGGGTCTCCTGTTCCCTGCGCTCCCCTGCACAGCAACCTCCCTCCTGGGCTCTGGGGCAGCCTCAGGAGGGGCAGGCTGGGAGGGGCTGTTGCAGCTGTTCACTTGGTCAGGATGTCAGAGGACTCAGACACCAGCCTCCCATCGCGGGTCTCAATCTTCTTCACAACCACAGCCTTGGTGGAGCTGGTGCGGCTGATGGAGCTGGAGCCCGCGACAGAGCCAAAGCTGGAGCCCAGGCCATAGCTGAGGCCGGGGCTTGTGAGGCCCCCATAGGCAGAGCTCAGACCACCTGCATAGCCGCTGGTGGTCTTCGTGTGGATACTCATGTTCTGCATCCCGGACTCCAGCCGGCTCTCCGAAGGTGAAGACTTCTAAATGAATGAAAGGACCTCATTTCTACTCAAAGTCCTTGACCCCTTTCCACGAATATTCAAGTAATGGGATTTCCACTTGCAGGTAGAAAATGCTTCCATTGGGGAATGTTCTCTGTGGCAAGGCAGCATGGTCAAATGGGGGATGGAAGTTTGAAGGCGATGCTTCTCTCTGCAACCCAGACTTGAGTTACCTGTGCTTGAAGACTTTATCTTTATAAACTATTTAAGGCTTCAATTATGGCAAAGCTAACTCAGCTTCCCAATAGTGTGCTGCCTCTGGAATCCCACCTCAGACAAGAGAGAACTAGAAACAGCAATAACTGATATATACAAAATACAAAATTCTCCAGATCTGCTGGTTAGAAGTATTTTTAATGTGTCCTGATAGATATGGAGACAGTACCTCCAAAAGTTGACCCTGGGAACAGTAAGCATCATCCTCATCATCACAATAATTTGTTGGCCTTCCTTCTACCTAGTCTCTCCTCTTAACATATTTTTTCTTCTAACTAAACACAATATACATACATTCCACTACAAAACCTCTAATCAAATTTTACATATTTAATATTAGCCTGTCAGTTCCTTTGCTAGCTTAGTGTGCTTTCCTCTACACTACTCAACAGTGACAGCAGCAATGGCCAGCACTCTGCTTTGTGTTTTAGATGCATTACTTCATTTAATCCTTGCAATAACCCTGTGAAGTAGGGTTACTAGCCATTTTATACCTGTAAATATCCTCATTTTATAGGTATATATATATATATATATATATATATATATATAAACTGAAGCACAGAAGGTTAATTTGCCCAACAGCCATAAAGATAATAAATGGTAGAACTTAGTATCTTCAGAGTACTCTGTCATCTTTAGGAATAATTGCTAAGCAATATAGCAGTCATTCAATAAATGTTTTTAAGCCCCCCATGAGTTTCAAAGGGCATGGAGATAAATGAGATATGGTCCCAATCCTCTAGAAGCACCCATTTAAAAGACAGTTTTGATAGCAAATCTACAAACACAGCCAAGAAGAACACTTTGTTTGACCCCTTTGTTTGAGTTACAAAAGGCCACCTCACTTTCTGACTGAGCTCCACACTAGAACACAGAGGATACTGCAGGTAGATCAAAAGCTGGAGTTTACTGGGCCAAGTGGCTCACACTTGTAATCTCAGCACTTTGGGAGGCCAAAGTTAGCAGATTGCTTGAGCCCAGGAGTTTAAGACTAGCCTAAGCAACATAGTGAAACCTCATCTCTACAAAACATATAAAAATTAGCCGGGCATGGTGGCACATGCCTGTAGTCCTGGTTACTCAGAAGGCTGTGGTGGGAGCATTGTTTGAGCCTGGGAAGTGAAGGTGTAGTGGGCCAAGATCATGCAACTGCACTGTGGGCTGCCCCTGACAGTGCATCTCCCAGGACAACTGAGCAAGACCTGGGTGACAGAGCAAGGCCCTGTCTCAAAAAAAAAAAAAAAAAAAATCTGGATTTCATCTCTACCTTCATAAAAGAGTCCTTTTATGCAGTATGAAAACTAAACAACAGTATGTGACATCTTCAGTTCTATAGTTGATACCCAAATTATGAGCTTGTGGAGATCTATTCTTTAAAGATGTGCATGAAAATATTAGAAGTTGCCGGGTGTGGTGGCTCACACCTGTAATCCTAGCACTTTGGGAGGCCAAGGCAGGTGGATCACGAGGTCAGAAGTTCAAGACCAGCTTAGCCAGGTTGGTGAAACCCCGTCTCTACTAAAAATACAAAAATTAGCTGGTCGTGGTGGCATGCTCCTGTAATCCCAGCTGCTCGGGAGGCTGAGGCAGAGGAACCTAGGAGCTGGAGGTTGCAGTGATCCGAGATCGCACCACTGCACTCCAGGCTGGGCAACAGAGTGAGACTCCGTCTCAAAAAAAGAAAAAAAGAAAAAAAAATAGAAGCATAGAACCTATGGAAACATGAATCCATATGCAAGAAAATATAGGGGTAGTGAAGGAATGTTCCACTACTTAATTTTAATCCCAGTATCAATAAAGGGTAGGAAAAGAGATAAGCCTGTAGGAAATAATAAAGTATTTGAAGGGAAAAAAAGGAGCAACAAATGGAAAACCAAAACCAACACGGCAGTGTCACATTTGCATATTCGAGCAATGACTATTTCACCTGTGCTTATAAAGCTGCATTTGTCATCAGACCACAATATTCTTGACCACTCTATAATATTACCCTCATCAACAAAAACAATAATCATTTAGGGAATTCTTAACACTAGAAAAATAATTAGCCTAAGTACTAAGCAGTACACATTAAAACTTGAAAATATTGTCCTTCTTGTCCTCAAAATAAATTAGATTTAAGAAGGTAATATAGGCCGGGCATGGTGGCTCACGCCTGTAATCCCAGCACTGTGGGAGGCCAACGGGTGGATCACCTGAGGTCAGGAGTTCCGGAACAGCCTGACCAACATGGAGAAACCCCGTCTCTACTAAAAAAATACAAAATTAGCCTGGTGTGGTGGCACATGCCTGTAATACCAGCTACTCGGAAGGCTGAGGGAGGAGAATTACTTGAACCCGGGAGGCAGAGGTTGCAATGAGCTGAGATCTACTGCACTCCAGCCTGGGAAACAAGAGCAAAACTCTTGTCTCAAAAAAAAAAAGAATTGGAGCCAGGAGTAATGTCAGCAAGATGGCTGACTAGAGTCACCTGGTGCTTGCCCCTTCCAACAAGAAAGGCCCAAGGCAATGAATACGCAGCCACCAATTTGACGAGTGTGGAAGGGAGAGCACTGGAGTGCCGCTGGGGAGTGGAGATCAATCTGCGGTGATTGAAGTCCGGGAGAGCAGCATGGAGCCACCCGGCCTCTGCAGCCCCATCTGCTCTTCCCAAATCGGATTGGCCTGGAGACAGAAGGGACTTCCTGTTGTGGAGAAAAGGTAAGCAGATCCCCAGCAACTCTCATTGTCTTGACAAACATCTATAGTCCTTTCCTTTTTTTTTTTTTTTTTTTTTTTTGATACGGAGTCTAGCTCTGAGGCCCAGGCTGGAGTGCAGTAACGCGATCTCGGCTCACTGCAACCTCCCTCTCAC